TCCAGATGCAACTCGCAATAGGTCAAATTGCACAGAAGATAGGAAATGATCACGAGTTACTAAAATCTAGTATAGAGTAAAGTTGTAAAGCGAAACAAGCTGCTTGCTTGAATTGGACTCCTGGACCTCAAGCTTGGCTTGCTTCTAACATCTACTTGATTATCAAATTATTATCCACTAGTAATCATGTATCAACCATAGCATCAATGTTAGGGAAATACAGCACAAAAATAACAATTTCATGCCATCCGCACGTTATAGGAGAGTCAATATAAATAACCTAATGTTAGTTGCATTTCAGAAAATTAGTTTGACAGTGTGTCACGCACTACAGTTTAAAACAAACAACCACAAATTTTCTCCAATTTCGTAAAATCTCAAAAAGAATTCTTAAAGCTATGACGGTCACAACATAAAGCTAGGAAAGTCACGACACGAAGTAAAAACATCATGTCATTATCATCTTACAGAGAGAATCAAAATATACAGCATAAAGTAAGTCATGTTTCGGAAACACATTTGACTGTGTCATGCCCGATAAATTAAAACAAACAACTTCTTCAAACTTTCTCGAATTTTGTTAAATCTCAACAAAATTCTCAATTTGGAGTATGTTCTACTAAAGATGTATTATTTCTACTCAACTAAATATCTTGGCCCAAAAAATGTTAAGTATTATACTTCCAAGTTCCAACCATTTCTCTTATTCAAGGAAAAGTGATCCAAATATGGAAGTTACAAATTCTCAATTACTGCATAAGCTGTCTTTGATATTGCTAGATTCAAGAAAATAAGAACAAAATAAAAACTTAAAACAGAAATAAGGTTTCAGAGAAAAAAGAAAAAGATAAGCTTTAGCTCAGAATGAGATAACAGAAACTAAATTGAGAAATTAGGAAATAAAATTGAGCTAATTAGAAGGGAAGCTTAATTAAATTACCCCATGAGATTAACACGAAGACGGAGGCTCAATTCAACAAAGAGCTCAAACATCTGACCCAAATCAGCAGCATTACCATGAGAATACAGCATAGTAGCAGATGCCTTTGGATGCTTCACATGAACGGCCACGATTTCATTTCCACGGCGAGTACGAAGTTTCAAAAAGTCTACTCCATCTCTCCTAGCTACCTCAGGTATGCTAAACTTGCCGTCGTCGGGAACCACCGTGTAAGACGGCGGAGTCGGTGGGAAGAAGGCGAACTTAGCAGCGATGGAAGAAGTCACTCCTCCCATTATCTACCGTAACTTAATGCTACTGCACCAATCATAAAGCAGCCCCCGTTTCCCTTATCTACTTCTTCAGGGCGGCGCGTGGAGGTCAAGGGAGGCGCGTAGCGGTTTGAAAAAAAAAAGGAATATGCTATGACTAAGAAAAGGTTGTTGGAGGAAGAGGGGATATATTGTATAACGTTGGAGTTTTCGGATTTTATGCAACACTTTATGACTCATAAGTATGATTGTAACTTGTAAGAATTTGTTCAATTTTACTTGTCATGAATTTTAATAAAAGAATTAATCAAATTGATTTTTATAAAGCGAAATTCGACAAATAAAAGTGATGAATTCAATTAAGAAAAGCTTAAATGAATTAATTCAAACAAAAATATCAACAATATTTATAATAATTGTTTAATTATTAACTTTAGATTAGAATTTTCTAACCACGATGTTAAGATAACTTTAATTACCAAACCACGGAAGAAGGTAATGGAGCTTTTTGACTATTTAACCATTGTAGAAATGCACCTTAATGGACTTTAATTTAACATACTTAATTTTGGTTACAAATATATCTAGAAGAAAAGAAAATGTTAGTTCAAGAAAGCATAAAATATTATTAAAAAATGGTCTACCAAGTACCAACCAACCAACCATGAAAACAAGAATATCATCGTCTCCCAAATACTATATATTCCTCACGTTTTGTGCATATCATAGACATGTTCGAGGAAGAAATAGAAAAGTTGATAATTCTTAGGAGAAAGGTTTTTCTTTTTATATATATTTAAAATGCTAAAATTCAAGGAGAATATCTATTGAAGTGAAGGTAATTATTCTTGACCGATTAATATTAATTCTTCCGTTTTAATTTATCAGATATTTTTTCTTTAGACAAATTTTTAAAAAAAATGTCACGTAAAACAGATGGATTATGAAATTGGTGCAGCAAGTTGGAAGATGGAACCAAAGAGAAAAGGTTAATGGGACAAAGTCTTTTCCTCTTTCTTGTTTTTAAAAATTGTGTACTTGCCAGCCCAAGGAATGATAAACGCCTATAACGTATCTATGGAAAACATTATTAATTGGAGAGCATCAATTATCAAAGATTGTCCTTTTAGGTCAAACCAATTGAATGAGAGAAGAGAGAGAGAGACAGAGTTAATGGAACACGTCAAACATAATCCCATCTGTACCATTTTCAGATTTCCCTTTTCTTTTTTTTTTTCACAATCGTAATGTCTACATCAACTTATAGAAAAATATAAAATTTAAAATTAATGAGATTTTATAGCTATAAGTTTAATATATTGAAATAATCAAGTTTGTAGTTAAATATATTTATAATAATTTGAAATCTTTTTTTAATATAAATTTATATAAAAAAGTTATTAAGTTCACGTGAATTACACCTAATCCACTCCAATGGAAGAGGTGGTGAAGTATGTTCCTTATGATGCAATAAGACGAAAATCTAAAGGAAAAGAAACCTAAGCTATACTTCCTTTTATTACGTAAAGAAATAGTGTCCCATATGATTGAAACTGCGAAACACGTTTCAATACAAAAAGTTAAAGAGATGTCAATCTTCTACGCAAAGAAATGCTATAAAGCGCAACTTATATTTAGCCATCACCAGCTACAATATTTAACTAAAAGTATTTTTTTAGAGTTGTATTGAATAATGATTAATGAACGTGATGAAGAGAGTGATGCATAATGGAATTATAACCATTTCTTTATTCTGTAAAAGAATATAAATCATCAAGAATATCTGACAAGATACTACTATTATATAAATTTTGTAGGGCTTAAAGTAATACCCACATGAGAATTATGAATGTGTCTTAATTTTGATGTTCAGTTCAAAATAATTTAGGAGGGTTTATAAAAACATGGAAAATACTGGGTGCATCAGACCAATCATAGCAATTACAAATTAACATAAAAGTCAATATCACTTAACCCTGGTGAAAGGGTAAATATATACATGAAAAACACATATCTTATATATATTGAGGAGGGGTCGAGGTAGACAGAGGAAGAATTAGAGAGACGTGAACTCTAGATAGGAGAGTATGGACATCGAGGAGAAGACATGTTTTTGATGTTTGTATAGACTATAGACATTTGGTGTAGATACAAGAGAATATAGAAAGAGATATATGAAGAGAGAAAAGAAATGAAAAGGGGAAGATAATTGAGGAAGTAATGGACCACCACAATCACCCCATTGTATATATTTGCACAGCACAATAATAATGCGCAGAGCAACCAGTCGCCTTCCATACCTAAAGCCATAGCGGTGGCACGTCGACATGTCACGATGAACAATTACTATTTTACATGACTCTTGTTTCCGCATACTGCCAAAATACCTCCGCCATGGACCCTTTCTGCCTTTTTTTTCCTTACCATTTTCTCCGCCTGATGTCACTCTTCATTGATCAATCCGTTTCTTTTGCAATTCACCACTCATTAATCTTTTCAACTTTTAACAACATCCAACCAGGTAGTATTCTCATCAACTTATGCAGATCTCGACTATTACATTCATCTCTCACCGGTACACACTAGTATTGGGACTTGAACCTGTCACCCTTTCAGATTTCTAAAGCAGATTTTCCAAGATCCAAGTTAGGAGAAAATATGTCATATGCAAGAAATAAGCTGGAAACATACTAAAAGGGGTCATCATCAGTGTCTAAGCTTCGGGTTAGCATGACATACCCTCTCGAGAAAAACGGGAGACATATTTGGACTAAACATGAGCGGATTCCTTATCCACTCAGGGGCATCTCAAAGTCCCCAGTGACAAAACAGAACACCAGTTCTGCACGAACCAAAAGGATGACTTCAGAATATAAGTTCCAACAGCAACGCCTGCTTGCAGTGAAGAAATGATATCTGAAATGTGGAGTGACTAGCCATGCTTAACTTAGCAAAGAACAGAAGGAAAACGAAGGTATCACCAAGCTCAATTCTAACCGTAAATGACTCCCTCTATGCATCAAACTAGATATAATGGGCAAATTGTTGTCTCATAATCCACAATATGGATACCTCCTCTTTGTCAATATGAGTGAACTGAAAATAAGCAAAGACCATAAAGTAAGTTACATAAAGACCTCAAAAAATTCCCTTCATATAGGAAGTTCAGCTGGATGACTGACTAAATTTGCACGTAATCCAGGACCAGAGACCCAATTAGCACTCTTCAGAAAAGTGTATCGAACCAAATCATCATTGTAGATCAACCAGCCTCAACCCTACTTCAAATTGGAAATGAAAGATCAACAAACGGAACACTGGAAAATTCAAAATTCCGATTCATCTAAATGAAAATTGACATCAAATAGCTGGCTTATAGAGGAAGACTAAGTGATACCTCTGATTCAGTGATTTCTAGAAATTAACAAGTAATGCTCCATTAAGACTGCTTTAGATCAACTAAGTTCATTGAGTGTCCAAAGTGACCAAGTTCTCCTGAGTGGCCAATCTGATGAACCAAATGCTAAGAAAGAAAAGTCTTTTAAGTTTTTGCAAATGTAGACATGAAACAAAGGAAGGTCCCTTCGGGGACATCCGATAAAAAAAAAACAAAGGATGTTATAGTAACTAACAGTAGGGACAAACCTGAATTGTCAGCATTTCTTCTACAGCAAGCACGCTGAAGAATATTGTCTGATGGCTAGAACTGTAAAATCCACAGATCAACTTTAATGCATAAGCTAGCATATTGTGAAAGACAGTCAGAGGTTAGCACTGACCTCGGTATGCCTATATGAACTCATACTAGATTGTGCAGCTCCAGTTGGAAGTTCTTCCCGGGGAGATAGAGCAACTGTGCCTTGTAAGCTGAGCAAATAAATTTTATGCTTGATCCATCCGCATCTGGAAGAGAACCTCCAAAAGCTATCATTTGTCTGCTCAAAACTAACAGTATGTCATTGTGTTTGCCTTTACAAGAGGAGTGAATACTTCTACCCATTTATAACTGGTTAACATAGGTTGTATTCTCAGTTGCATTATCCCTTAAATTTCAACTTCCACAAAATTGTTATAATGTAGAAATCTTGGCCAATAAATAAGGTTGAAACTTCAGTGGCAAAGTTGAGCACCATTCTTTATTAATAATGCAGAAGCTTAGCCATTTGAATTTTAGACTGGACCTTCCTTGCTTCATGCGTAAGTCCACAACTACGAAGACCATCAATAACAATTCGTTTATCTGATTTAAGAATATTCATGCCACCTCTAATACACGATAGTAGTAACTTAGATGCTGCACGAAACCTCCTAGCTTGGCAAAGACCACGGACCATGGTAGAGTAAGAAACAGAATCTTTCATATCCATTGACTCAAATATATGCGTAGCATAATCCAATTGACCAGTTTTACACAACCCATTGATAAAAGAATTCCACGCAACCAAGTTAGAATCAAAACCTGTCACACTCATACGGTTCAATTGTTGCTGGGCCTCTTGGAAATTACCAGTCCTGCACAAGCCATCAATCAAGATAGCATGGGTGTACTTGTCAGATTCCAAGCCTCCATTTTCTGCCTCATATAACAACGTATAAGCATTATCCAGCTGACCTTCCTTACAATATAGATTAAAAATGGTATTAAAAGACACAATATCAAGGGTAAAGCCACTTGTAATAATATATCCCAGGTACTCATTAGCCTCAGTTATCCTCCCAGTTTTAAGTAACATACTTGCAACTGTACAGTAAGCAAAGGCATCATATGTATATCCTTTGTTTCTCATCTCTGCAAAGATTTTAAGGCCTTCTTCAAATTGTCTATATCTGAAGCAACATTTCATTACTGTAGTATAAGTGATGGCATTCGGGATATGACCTGATTCTACCAATTCGTTGAGGAACTCTCTTGCAACGTTTCCTCGTCCTGACTTGCACAACCCATGAATAAGAATGTTGTAAGTTACTAACTGAGGAATAAATCCATGACACTTCAAACTCCTAAATAACATTAGGGCATTCTCCGTATATCCATTCATACACAGCCCATTAATTAAAATATTGAAAGTTGCTGAATGAACAGATATATCTTTCAAAAGAATATCTTGAAAAACCCTGTAAGCTTCGTCTGGCTTCCCGAATTTAAAGAAACAATTCATTAATGTGTTGTAACTCCAAATATCAGGAAGAATTCTCATCTCAAGCATTTCATCAAACAGGTCGAGACATTTAGATAACAGAGAATATCTAGTAGCTCCGGCAATCAAAGCGTTATAGGTAATAACATCAGGGTTAATTCCAGCGTCCTTCATCCTATGAAGGATGGAATAACCAGCATCTATGCCAACAACGCGGCAATATGCAGCAATCAATGTGTTGTAAGTGACAACATCTGGTTGTAATCCAATTCTTATGCCATCAACTATAACAATTTCAGCTTTCTCTAATTGTTTGGCTTTACAAAGAGATGCCACACAAACATTCATTAACCTTGTTGATAATTTATCCTTGATTCTCCGCATCTACTCAAAACAGTTTACACCTGAAATCTGAACAACTTTTCGAACAAAAGTGACAGAAAAATACTTCTCAGATATCAAATGCTTATGAAATCTCTGTTTGAATGGAAATGATCAATGCACATGAACATATAAAAAATACAGAATCACCGATTTGCACACAAGAACAATGCATAACTGAAAGAGTAAATACCTTAAAATAACGAACGAAATCAATAGCCTTTGACCGGCTATCTAGCAAGAGAATGAGAAAGAAGATTTCAAAAACCTCTCTTTGCCAGTGTCTGGACTTTCGCTAAGCCAACACTTACCGCCGGTAGAAAGACCACCGGGGAATTTCAAAAGACTTTCGATCAAGTTTTACGAAGAAAGCCCATAAAGTCTACTAAATGTCAAATACATCCTTAATGTATTGTAATTAAGAGGAGTTATGATAAAAGTATCAAAAAGTGAACAAGTTTGATCCAAAGTTAGTATGTCCGTCTAAAAGTAACGGTGAACCAAGTATGTGCATTGCACGTGACTCGTTTTGTGGACAACATATTGCTTTTTGATAAAGGCGAGAACTAAGTGCCCGTTTGAATTGACTTATTTTAGGTGTTTTTAAGCCAAAATAACTTTTAAATAGTTTTGAAGTGTTTGAGTAAAGTTAAAAAGTGTTTATAAGCACTTATTTTAAAGTCAAAATAACAAAAATAAGTCAAAAGTCAATCCAAACAAGCCCTAAAACGGTGGCTTAGATAAATACATTATCCTCGATATAGGCGTGAACTAACATTTAAGATACGAAACCTCAAACAAACCTAACCAATCCAAAACGCTATTGTACTTTTTTGAAAGCTAAATTTATTATATTTCAGTGATACAACTATTCACTTCATATTTGTTATTACATCACTATTAGTGATTACAAAGCAGATTTCGGAAACTCTCCCCTACATTTGATAATCATCTAAATTATCACAATGTTTGTTAATTAGACATCAAAATGTCCCTATTTTCTGATATATATTTTTCCCCAATTAAAATCTAGTTAGCAAAAAAAGATAGTAGTACTTCTTAAAAGGACGAAATTACACGAATAAACAAATATATACTAGTTAATTAGTTAATATAGTTATACTCACTTATTTATAAATCACCATTGACATTTAGCATTAACTATGTGGGCTTTGTTTCGAGTGTATATAATTCGCCACTGACAATTCTTTGTTTGATTTGTATTTATATATATGACGATTTGTATTTGTATATGACAGTAATTTTCTTTGGTTTTTCAGTTTTATTATCGAATACATTCAATCTTTTTTGTATAACTTTTTAAAGTTTGTATAAATATGTAGTTTTCAAAAAATTATAATATAATATGTATAATTTTTGTATAATGTGATTTATATAATATAATGTGTATAACTATTTAAATTCCAGTTGTTTGTATTTATATAAATACATTATTTCGAGTTTTATCATATTTGTATCATTCCAAAATTTATATTACTCCAAAAAAAGGATCTAATTTTAGATCTATAGTTGTATCCATATTTGTATAAATCCTTAATTGTATAGTTATTTTAGTTGTATATTTCAATATTCTACTTATACAAAATATATAAGTACAAAAGTCTACCAACATAATTATACTTATACAAATACAAATGAAAATAACTCATTATACAAATATATGGAAATTATACAAACGTATCCGCGAATTATATAAACGAATAAGATATAACTATAGCCAGAAAATATGCAAACTATAGTTAAAGTGTCTAATTAAGTTTAGGGAAAATTATGCGGTTAAGCAAACTTAAACTACTTTTAGTCATCATAGTTATAGATTGCTATAATTACCAATCGTGACTAATATTAACCATTAATTACGTCAGCTGACTTTGAGTTTGTATAATTAGTCACGTTTGTATAATTCGCCACATTTGTATAATTCACAACTAACAATTCTTCATTCGATTTGTAATTGTATGCGATGTTTTGTATTTGTGTATGATAGTGATTTCCTTTGGTTTTTCAGTTTTATCACCATATACATTCAATCTTTTTGTGTATAACTTTTTAAAGTTTGTATAAATGTGTATTTTTTGAATTTTGTATAGTATAATTCATATAATGTAATTTGTATAACTATTTAAAATTCATATGTTTATGTTGTATCAATTCGTTATTTCGAGTTTTTATCATATTTGTCTAATTCAGACTTATATTACTCAATTATACAAAAGCACGTGAATTATCGCGAATTATACAAACGAAATGCGAATTATACAAATTATTGCCCTCTCTCGCCTCTCGAATCTCTCCTCCCTGTCCCAATCTCGCAGTCTCTCTCCTCCCTCTCTCAATCTCGCTCGCCAGATATACAAATACATATATATACAAGTTACATATATACAATTGTCTAATCAATATACATATACAATTCACCTCTCTCCTCCTTTTCCCAATCTCGCTTGCCAATCTCCTCCCTATGACATGTAGATACGAATCGTAATTAGCAAACTATAGCTATGAAGCATAATTAAGCTATTTTGAGTGGCTATATGCGAAAGTTCTCCTTAAATTTATTATATTGGCTATTTGCGAAATTTCACAAAAAAATGCCCACGACCCGACTCAAGCTACGGCCCATATCGTACCATTTATAAAGTTAGCTACGATTAGGGTTTATACGACAATTTCCGCCATCTCAGTACCCCTCCAACTCTGCTGCCGCAGCTGTAACATCTTCCCGCGGAAGCGCCATGGTATTTCTCACCAATTTCCGTTTCATGAGTGTTGATGCTTTATCATATGTATTCGCTTTAACTTGAAATATCATTTTTGATTGTGCAATGAGAACAGGCTTCAGAGAAGAAATTGAGCAACCCCATGAGGGATATCAAGGTCCAGAAGCTTGTCCTCAACATCTCCGTCGGTGAGAGTGGAGATCGACTCACCAGAGCAGCAAAAGTCTTGGAGCAACTTAGCGGCCAATCCCCTGTTTTCTCTAAGGGTATGCTTTTGAATCTTCTAACCCTTTTCCATTTAAGTACATTAATTATCTGTTGTAGGAAATATTAGCTTTGCACCATGAACATTTATCTAATGTGTGAAGTGACGCTTATGTATACCTTCAAGCTGTTCCTTATAATCCAGTGGCGAATCTTGGATATCTGTAACATGGGTGCATCACTAAAAAATCAAGGAAAAAGAGATTGATCCCTAATCTACTTAATTAAATAACTCAACCTTCAACCAAGTGCACCATTTGGTATTCTTGTAGCATGGGTACCTGTATATAGTATTATGCAAGTTTTAGAAAATATATACATAAATTACCTAGTTTATGGAGAGACCACAGATTCACATGCCCCAAATTTTGTCTATGGTGATTGTTTAACTTATTGTTTGTCTGCTAGTATTTTCTAGTTTATCATTGATTTTTAATCAGTTGAAGTTTAAATATCAGCCTGAATAGAATAGAAAGATGCAAAAATTCATGTAGCCTAACCCTTTTTTTTTGGTTGCATTGGAGCCTAGCTGATTGCTTGATAATGGCAGTGTAAATGTTGAGTCATGGAATTAATCCATGGTTAATTTGATCTATATGCATTCAATCTGTTCCTTGCAGTGGCGAATCTAGACTTTCTATAACATGGGTCCATGGAAATTTATCCCTAATCCTCTAGTTAAATAACTCAACCTTCAACTAAGTGCACCTTATAGTCTTCTTTGTAGCATGGGTGCCCTCATATAATATTATACAAATGTAGATAATGTATCCACAAAATGCCTAGTTTTACAGAGACACCACCGGTTCACTTGCTCATTTTTTGCCTATAAATTTACCCCCGGTTCTTTGTAGGGTGATTGTTTAACGTATTGTTTCTCAGCTAGTTTTTTTAGTTTATCATTGATTTTTAATCAGTCGCAGTTTAAATATCACCCTGAATAGAATGGAAGGATGCAAAAATTCATTTAGCCTAACCCTTCTTTTTTGCCTTGGAGCCTAGTTGATTGCTTAATAATGGCAGTGTAAATGTCAAGTAATGGGATTAATCCATGGTTAATTCGATCTGTATGCATGTAGATGAAATTTCTTTTTGCAATTAATGAAGGCACTAGCTTATTTGGTTCATATTTTTGTATTATACTGGGTGTATAATTTTTAGCTATTTAGGCATGCTAGTATTTGTGGTAGATCTTGGTTGAAGTCAGTGTTTATCACAATTTGTTTGTGTTTATGAAAAACACGCCATTCACAATTTATGGATAGTGAACTAGTGTCCTGCTTTTGTTCAAAAGTTATTTGTTTTGAAGTGTTTATTTGTGGACATTTAACTGATGTTGTATGTATCTCCGCTTTCCCTGTTTGGAGATATTGTTAAAAGATTTACCCTCTTTATAAAAAAAATATTTGATCTCTCATGTTATTGTTATGGTTCTCATTATCAGCAAGGTATACTGTGCGGTCCTTTGGAATCAGGCGTAATGAAAAGATAGCTTGCTATGTGACTGTCAGAGGGGAGAAAGCTATGCAGCTTCTTGAGAGTGGATTGAAAGTTAAGGAATACGAGTTGTTGAGAAGGAACTTCAGTGAGACCGGCTGCTTTGGGTTTGGTATTCAGGAGCACATTGATCTTGGAATCAAGTAAGCAGATCATCATTTAGATCTCTTTCTGGTTTATAGCTTTCACGAGTTACATAATTAGCTGTATTGCATAGGAGGTAACCTGGAGCTAGTCTTCCTTTTTTCTTACAAAACAAGAAAATCGCATTAGCGTTGATACCCATATAACTTGGAAGTAGTTTAAGGAAACATGATTTACTTTTTTCATATTGTTTTCTTGGATCTATCTTATGGTTGCCGTGTCTTACTATATTAACTCGAAAGATTTGCATCTGCTATTTTGCATTTAAAATTTCAATCTATTAATGTCTGTCATCCTATTTTTTGTAAAAAAAATTCAGATATGATCCTTCAACTGGTATTTATGGAATGGATTTCTATGTTGTATTGGAGCGCCCTGGCTACCGTGTTGCCCGTCGTCGCAGGTGCAAGTCTCGAGTCGGGATTCAGCACAGGGTCACTAAGGAGGATTCAATGAAGTGGTTCCAGGTCAAATATGAAGGTGTTATCCTTAACAAGTCCTCAAACATTCAGTGATAAGCTGAGTGCCAACTTTTGGATCAGCTCGTCTCCTGGCAAGTTTATTTTTATGTATTTTTGTAGACAGCCATTGATATTACTATTAAAGGAATGTTTGGAGAGATTCTAGTGGGCAAATCAGTATGTTTTATTTCTCATTTTGGCAATCAGATGAATTCAAATCTTTGTTATGGTCATTGTCAGTTGTTGCAATTTAAGTAGGAATTATTCAAC